CCTGGTTACAAATCTGCTTAATCACAAAATTATCCAGTTTGTACATACCATTACTAAAATTCATGTTGACAGATTTGGTATGTTTAATGAGACTGGATTCTATAATTTTTCTACTGTCAATTGAATTACAAGGTAATATTGAGGAGGCATTATCCCAGTCAATGCAATGCTTATTATCTCTCATATGAGTGGACAGAGCATTGGATTTCTGGCCTGTCCTAACACTATATTCATGCTGTTTAAGTCTAGTTATAAGATCTTTACCTGTCTGGCCTAAGTAGAACATATTACATACCTTGCAAGGAACCTTGTAAATGCAGCCGCCTGCATTGTTGGGGGAGTTCTTAATTAACATTTGTTTTACAGTGAAGAGCTACAGAAAGATCTCTGTAAGCTTCAAGAGTGGTCGAAGAAATGGCTGTTAAGATTCAATATCACGAAGTATAAGAGGATGCACCTAGGTTGTACCAACAGTAAGGAGGAGTATCACATGTCCTGAAGGGATGAAGAAACAGCACTAAAAGAAACCGAATGTGAAAAAGACCTAGGTGTTTATGTTGACAACGAACTCAAGTTTCGGGCCATTGTGAGAAGAAGGTGAATGAAGCAACTAAACTAGTAAGTCTTGTAAGGTCATTCAGATATCTACACAGCCCATCCCTATTCCTTCGAAATGCTCTTCAAGAGGTGCTTTTGCCGTCTGGAGTACTGGTCCCCGAGATATGCCAGAGACTGTCAGTTGATTGAAAATGTCCAAAGGCGGGCCACCAAACTGATGCCTGCAGTACAGCACCTCAGTTACCCTGAGAGATTATAATGTCTGTAGCTGCCTAGCTATAAACGGGATAGGGGTGACCTAATTGAAGTCTATAATCATCTCAGAGGGTACTACTCAGTCGAGTGTCCATACCTGGAGCTGGCGGATGCACGCCCCACTAGGGTTCGCAGCTGGAGGATGAAGAGGCCACAAGTCCATTAACTGTATTGTGACGGCACCAAGTGTGAGCCCTTTCAAGACCAGACTAGCACAGGTATAGACATTCAGGAGCCAGTACATGTCCAGTACTTGCCAACAGTGTGTAACAGCGACGTAGCTGACCGTCCAAGCGGCTAACGAGCAAATCAGTGGCGAAGAGGATAAAAGTAAAAGCAGACCACATGCTATAGTAACACCCTACCCACATGTTTTATGGACTATGAAGTGTAATATGAATCAGATAGCATAGTTAATTGACCTGCATATTTGTGATCAGTACACTAGGACCTTATGAGCGGTTAATGGCATCTTCTAGAACATCATGAGCAGTTAATGGCATCTACTTGTGACATCTACTAGAACATTATTAGCAGTAAATGACTGTACGACATCTCCTAGAACATCCTGAGCGGTTAATAGCGTCTCCTAGAACATCATGAACCTTTAATGGCGTCCCTAGATTATGGGTGGTTAATGGCACCTTCTAGAATGAGCGGATAATGACGACGTCTCCTAGAACATTATGAGCAGTAAAGGCGTCTCCTAGATCATCATGAGTGGTTAATGGCATCTTATAGAACATCACGAGGGGTTAATAGCGTCTTCTAGAACATCATTAGGGGTTAATGACACCTAGAACATCATTAGGGGTTAATGGCGTCTCCTAGAACATCATGAGCGGTTAATGCCGTCTTTTAGAACACCATGAGTGGTTAATGGCGTCTCTTAGAACATCACGAGTGGTTAATGATGTCTCCTACAACATCATGAGTGGTTAATGACGTCTTCTAGAACATCATGAGCAGTTAATGACGTCTTCTAGAACATCACTTCACGTATCAAAATCTACTGAGTATTTTTTTCCTTTTTCTTTGTTCACGATAAGAACATAAGAATGGAAGAAATGCAGCTCGTTTATTGGATCATACAGGGTAGTCCCGTTTACATCCAACCCCTATTGCTCATAATTTCTATATCCGCCCAACCGATATTTGAAGCTACCTATATTTCAGAATACAACAAAGAAAAATAAACGCATGTTTGTAGTATTTTTCAGCCTTATATTTAATCCAAAGATTTCGGTCGATCTGCTCAAATAAAGTATTATTGGAAAATTTAAGGATTATCATGTATTTTTTACATCACCAAAATTGAATTTTCTTCCCGAGCAACGCCATGTAACTCTGCAATTATATAAATACTCGAGAGAGAGAGAGAGAGAGAGAGAGAGAGAGAGAGAGGAGGGGGGGGGGTAAGGTTAAAAATGCATTACTGCGCCAACTAAGGTTTTTAAGTGCGTATTCAGGGCTACTTTTATCCTCTTCGCCACTGATCGGCTCGTTAGCCGCTTGGATGGTCGGTCACGTCTCTGTTAAGCACTGTTGGTAAGTACTGGACATGAACTGGCTTCTGAATATATCGGAACCTGCTCTGTCGGTCAAGTCTGGCCTTGAATGAGTTAAATCGGTTCCGTCAAAACACACTTTTAACCGAGTATTCCAAGAGTTTACAATTCTCACTCCGAAAAGTTCGCCCACACAGTTTTCTGGACTTGCGGCTTCTTCAGCCTTGAGCTGTGACCCTGTAGTAGATTCCTCCCCTACAAGCACCGAACCTTCTCGAATGCCCCAGCCTACGCCTCCAGCGCCGCCTACGGAGCGGGGGTCAACTATCTACCCACGCCTACCCCCGCCTTATAAGACCTGACACCGCTGTAACCAGCCTCTTTCTACAGTGCCACCAGCAAGCAACACCTCCTCCTCCGCGCCAGCCTCGCGGCTGCCGCTCCCGCCAGCGACCTTGGCGTCACCTCAAGCCGCGTGTCCCTCCTCTGGGCACCCTCACCACCCAGCTCTCTCTACTCAACGCTTATTACCATGCTACCTACCCAGCAACAAGCTGCATTGTACATCCAATACAATATGTATACAGTGAGCACATTGTGAGATTCCTTTCTCCATCCCATCCTGAGTGTGAACCAATATCTCATAACTCCACAAATGGTGACCCCGGAGATTCGCACTCAAACAGGATGGAGGAGAAACTGATCACTCTCCTAGTCTTCAAGCAACATGGAAGACTGGCTTACCCAAGCAGAGGCAGCTCTCATCGGCTCTACAACTACTGTCTCTACACCGCAGGTTAGACACCCTAGAGCAGCTCTGCGACTCTGAGCAGACAGCCGCTCCTCTTCCTGCCCTAAGCACCACGTCCTACCGACCCCAATACACCCGTCCTGCCTCAGACTCCGCCCCCGGCCCAGCAGTACCCCCTGCCGCTCCTCCTGACGCGGCCCCTGCTCCTGACGCGGACCCACACACCCCTCTTATCTCCCTCAGGTACCCCCTGCTACTGTCCTGTACCCTGCTGCTGTCGTGGACCCTGCTGCTGTCATGCACCCTGCTGCTGTCATGGACACTCTTCCTAACGCAGCCCCTGCTCCTGACCCAGGCCCACACACCCCAGCAGGCGCATCTGAGGACTCTGTACCTGTGCCGAGTGAAGCACAACATTCATCGCCTCCACAACCCTCCTTCTCTCTCTTTTCTCCCACAGATCTCGTGTATCTAGACAGAGTTGCCCCTTCCTAGCGGCATGCTCATCCACGCCCTCGCCGTTATGTCCCACATGTGGCATGCACCGCCCGTTCTGCCTCACATGTGGCCCGCAACTCTGCCAACCTCCAGCCTCCAGCCGCGCCCGGAGGGGAAGGGGAGTATTGTAGTGGATTCCTCCCCTACAAGCACCGAACCTTCTCGAATGCCCCAGCCTACGCCTCCAGCGCCGCCTACGGAGCGGGGGTTAACTATCTACCCACGCCTACCCCCGCTTTATAAGACCTGACACCGCTGTGACCAGCCTCTTTCTACACAGTGCCACCAGCAAGCAACACCTCCTCCGCGCCAGCCTGGCGGCTGCCGTTCCCGCCAACGACCTTGGCGTCCCCCTTGGCGTCCCTCAAGCCGCGTGTCCCTCCCTGGGCACCCTCACCACCCAGCTCTCTCTACTCAACGTTTATTACCATGCTACTTACCCAGCAACAAGCTGCATTGTACATCCAATACAATATGTATACAGTGAGCACATTGTGAATTTCCTTTCTCCATCAAATCCTGAGTGTGAACCAATATCTCATAACACCACAACCCCTTGTGGGGCGGGCGTCCGCCAACTCCAGGAATGTATACACTCGACGGAGTAGTGCCCCCCCCCCCCTCCCCGTCGCAGAAATTACACAAGTGGCTAGTCCACCAACAATTAAAATTTTGAGATATAACTGATGAAGCCAGAAAAGGTAACAGCGTTACTGTTTAGATAGCAAAACAGAAGCTGTGTATAAAGGTATAACAGTCGGCGAAGTCCCCCCCCCCTAAAACATCTCCACATTGTCTTATAACTAACTGGCAACTCTAAAGCCCAACCTTGAATCTCGCCGTGATGACTCGACTTCTCCACATTGTCTTATAACTAACTGGCAACTTTATAGCCCAACCTTGAATCTCGCCGTGATGACTCGACAGTCTCCGCGAGTCCGTCAGTTCAGTTCTACACTCAGCCGCAAGTATACAAACTTGAGGTAAGGTAGGAAAATAGAGGCTGCAAACGGGCTAATACTCTGGGAAAACAGATGGCAGACATGTTAGCTGGCAGTGTTCTCATCACTGGGTGTAATAGAGGCCTTGGCCTGGAGATGATTCGTCAACTCGTCACTTCCAGTACTCCGCCACGAGTAGTGATCGGGACCTGCAGGAAACCTGATGAAGCTTTGGTAAGTAAATAAAAGTTTATTTATCTTTTCCATGCTCGCCAGTTTAGGGATAACCCTAACACCCTCAAATCCACCAACGGGTGACTAGGGCAGGTAATTTCTAACCCCAACCCCCAACCCCTCCTTTGTGACTTCACTCTGCCTCGACGTCGGGTGATGTTGGCTGAATTATTGTAGGTATATTTTCCTTTGGGGCCAAAGTTTGTAGCACCTCTGTGTTAAGAAGGATAAGGAATTCACCAAAACATGTACTGTACACAGAATAAACGTGATCCAAGAAGAGTGGGTGGGTATTTTCAATACCAGTTGTGTGTGTGTGTGTGTGTGTGTGTGTGTGTGTCACGCTAAATAGGGATGACACTTTTGTATTATGATATTTTAGGTAATAAAATGGTGGCTAAGGTTTGGCTATATGGGGAAGCTGGAGGCCATGTTTTTATTGAAAAAATGGTGGTGGTGGTGGCGGCGGCAGGTGCAGCGGTAACGCGCATATGTTTTATGTCCTGGGTTCGAGTGCTAACCCTGGACAGATGTGAGAAGGGTATTTCTCAGATTGACCATAACACTATTGCCTTAAACTTCATAAGAATGGAGGAAACTGCAGCAGGCCTGTTGGCCCATACTGGGCAGTCCCATTTACACGCAACACCCCTTTTACTTTACTTTTATCCTCTTCACCACTGATCGGCTCGTTAGCCGCTTGGGCGATCGGTCACGTCTCTGTTACGCAATGTTGGCAAGTACTGGGCATGCACCGGCTCCTGAATGTACCTGAACCCGCTCCAGTGTTGGTCAAGTCTTGTCTTGAAAGAGCTCACACTCGGTGCCGTCACAACACTTTCTGATAGATTGTTCCAAGAGTTCACAACTCTTACTCCGAAAAAGTTTGCCCTCACAGTTTTCTGGACTTGCGGCTTCTTCAATCTTCAGCTGTGACCCCTTGTGGGGCGAGCGCCCGCCAGCTCCAAGTAAGGACACTCGACTGAGTAGTGCCCCTTGAGATGCTTATACACCTCAATTAGGTCACCCCTTGCCCGTCTGTAGTATAAGCTAGGCAGGTTCAGGCGCTCCAATCTCTCAGGGTAGCTGAGGTGCCGAAGTGCAGGCACCAGTCCGGTGGCCCTCCTCTGAACATTTTCAACCAACTGACAGTCCCAAGCATATCTCGGGAACCAGACGGCGTGACAGTACTCCAGATGGGGAAGCACTTCACTCTTGAAGATCGTTACGAGGGACGGACCGTCCAGATATCTGAACGACCTTATAAGACCCAATAATTTATTTGCCTGATTTACCTTCTTCTCGCAATGGCCCGAGAACTTCAGCGCATTGTCAACATACACACCAAGGTCCTTCTCACATTCAGTCTCAAATAGTGCAGTTTCTTCATCCCGTTGGGTAGTAGGTAGCTACCAAACAGGGAGGTACTACCGCCTGGGAAGATATTGGAAGCATAGTGTGTTGTCTAATGGTAGACCCTGCTGCCATATGGCATCACGAAAATTGTGACCAAGTCCCAGGTTGCTGATCTGATTTTCTGCCTCATTTACACACAATGGCAGCGTCTCAATTATTTCTCTTACTTTGACAACACAACACTCTTGATCTTTTTTTTTTATTTTTTTATTTCTTTATGGTTCTTTATTATTATTATTATTATTATTATTATTATTATTATTATTACTACTACTATTACTACATTTTCGCCCCCCAGGCCCCGATGTGGGTCAGTGATACGCCTCCTTACCGTTGGTACGCCCCAAGTGCATCCTCTAACACTTCGTGACATTGAATCTCAGCAGCCATTTCTTCGACCATTCTTAGAGCCCACAGAGATCCTTCTGCAGCTCTTCACAGTCCGCTTGGTTATTGATTTCCCGAAATAACTTGGCGTCATCGGCAAACATTTGTATGGAGGAGTGTACGTCAGGAATATCATTTATGAAACAAACAAACAACAGCGGGCCCAATACACTGCCCTGTGGGACCCCGCTTGTGACAGGTACGGATGATGATTTTGTGCCATTAATCACCACACACCGCTTGCGGTCATGTAGAATGTCTTCTATCCACGCTTGGACATTTCCCTGAATTCCGTACCCTTCCAGTTTTATTTTCAGCTTTTCGTGGGGTACACTGTCGAAAGCCTTGGCAAAATCTAGGAAAATATTGTCGATATTACCACCCCGTTGCAGGTAAGAATACTGTACATGACAGCTGAGCTGGTGTGACCATGGGAGTTTTTTATGTCCATAAGCTGCTCTTCACGGCACATTTCTTCACTTACGAAATGTCCATGACTTAGACCACAAAAAACACCCTTAAAACTTAACTGAACGTGGCATTTGGGGTCTGAAGAGGCCATCCTACGACTGCAGTGGTGAGTTTTCTTGGAAAACGTCGTTGCAAATGGCGGCCCTGTTTTTAGAGAAATAAATTTATCTCGACTATTTTGGCAGGACTTTATATTTTTATTACAAATTATATATACCCTATCACTCTACGAACGTGGCAGAGTGTATTTCTTGTGTTTAGAACCGACAACTCAGTATAGGAGATGTAAACAGGGAAACCAGATACCAGATGAACAACGATGCCATAGAGAAATCCGACTGCGAGAGAGATTTAGGAGTAATGATAAGTAGGAACCTTAAGCCAAGTAAACAATGTGTTTTTGCTCGTAACAAGGCTAATAAAGCACTTGGGTTCATACAAAGGAGTGTTAGTTACAAGACTAGCGAGGTCATCCTTAAACTGTATCTTGCTCTTGTGAGACCACACCTGGATTACGCAGTTCAGTTCTGGTCACCGTATTACAGAATGGATATAGAATCCTTGGAAAGAATTCAGAGGAGAATGACAAGACTAATCCCGGGCATTAGGAACCTTGAGTATAGAGACAGGTTAAAGCATCTTAATTTGCACTCCCTTGAGAGACGTAGAGCGAGGGGCGACCTGATAGAGGTGTATAAGTGGAAGGCAGGGCTAAACAAAGGGGACATTACAAAGGTACTCAAACTATCCAACCAGGAGCGAACTCGTAACAATGGTTTTAAATTAGACAAATTTAGATTTAGGCGTAAAATAGGTAAACACTGGTTTGGAAACAGAGTAGTGGATGAATGGAACAAGTTACCAAATATCATCATTAACTCGAATACGCTGAATTGCTTCAAACATAGGTTGGATGCTCATATGAGCAATAGGGGTTGGGTGTAAACGGGACTGCCCAGTATGGGCCAATAGGCCCGCTGCAGTTTCCTCCATTCTTATGTTCTTATGTTCATTGTATACCTACGTTGTCTGTGCACATGCTGAAATGCATACCTGCATTGTCTATATGTATGCCAAACCAGATGTGAATATGTAAGACGCTTTTACTTAATAGGTTGTATTATTATACCCCACAGGAGCTGCAAGCGCTGGCTAAAGACTGCAGTAACCTCAGGATTGTCAAGTTCGGTAAGACGACACCAACTCTGTTGCCACATCTCATATTTTTTCTTACCTTTCCTCGGGTTTATTTTATATTTTAATCTTCCCTGTTGTAATATATTAATTTTCACTAATAATTTAGTGCGACGGAGTCGGGTATACACCAGAGATCAGACCAGGAGTCATTTAATCACCAGAACAGTACTTGTCAACTCTCGCATACTTCAAATACTTAACAAAAAGTAAAGAGATGTTGCAATAACCGTGTGGTACTGTAATTGCAATGCAATTACAGTACCACACGGATCAACTCCTACTCTGATACAAGCCATTCAAGATATGGTAAGATTGCAGATTACAGCAACCAAAGATTCTGAAAAAAAATGTTACCTAACCTAATGTAATATAAAGTGACCACAAAAAAAAAAGTTCTATCGATTGAGGGTGGAGTGAATTTCCGGAATTTTGTGGTTGCTGTTTACTGCAATATTACCCAAGATATAACTAGAAACACTATGAGGCCTTAATACACTTATGTGCCGGCACACTGGGCACTTTCCTCCGAACATGTTGCCCGTTTTGCTGGCAGTTGGCCAAAACGCCCAACAAGCAGCAGGATTTCGGCTGTTACGAGAATGGACAACGGTTTGCCGGGGATCTTTGCTGGCAGAGCGCCAACAAAACATCCCGGTGTAACGTAAAACGTCTCTTTGTTTGGAGGAAAGTGCCCAGTGTGCCGCTGCCTTAAGGAGTGCGAAAGATGCCTTTCCGTTGGTACAGCACTACAGTGGCCTTTCTTAAACATTGCGTTTTCTTTATTTTCATCTGACAGAAACAAATCCAACTTTTACTTATTACATTAAAACCAAATTAGTTTACCTGGTGTGTTGACTATCTCCCGTACAAGCTTCTTCTTTTACTGAAAGACTGCAAAAACCCTAAGTTACTATGTGGCGGTTAGCAAGGCATTTTTTTTTTGCCAGAAAAATTTTCAAATTTTCCGATTTTGGTAAGGGAATTTTTTTGGGGGAGGGGGGGTGGTGGGTTGTATCACGTTTTAACTGTGAATAATGTTGAAATCTATATGCTTAGGACCATTCACTGATAGCCTAATGCATTGGGTGTTTGATAATCTAGCTGAAAATGAAGTGCTGGGTATTAGGTAGCACGTCCTTGAGTCAAAATAGTGAAAGGGACATGTTTAACACTCACGGCGAAGGATTAGGCTATTCCTCGGCTACGGTATACCAGCCAAAAATGTGTAGAGCATTGTAGCGCTAACGTTACTGTATATGTAATCTCCTATGCTTGTTTGTAAGTCACGCAAATTTTAGATTTTTTATTCAAATGTCGTAGGCAAACAACACAAATGTAAAGTTGTAAACCATTCTTTGTTTACGTTGAATATGTCAGAATGGTGTCTTCCCACTTGGACGATCGCCTTTTCTGTGTTGTTCTTGGACGATTCCCACTGCCACATGGACGATTTTTACTAAAAACGTCCATATATCACAAATTCAATTAGAAATATTGTATTTATTATTGGAATATATTACGATGAATGAATTATTGAATAAAATGTGAAACGAAGATTTTTATTCAACTAATTATTAGTGATTATTATTATTTTGAATGTTATTAATTTAACAATTAAATGTTACAAATTTGTATTCAAATATTTCATGTTCTACCTGTATTCGTATTTACGAAAAAATGAAGTGACTGTAGATCCTGTCAGTAAGTCAGGTTGACAAGCTTAATATTCACGTTAACTCATGGCTAAAACAGGTGTAAATAGTGGTCACTTAGTTCTTCGTTCATTATGGCGGAGATTATTACCCAAGGTCACGGTACTAACTAATTTATGAAGATTAGTATACATATAAGAAGGACAAGTAACACTGGAGGTGTACTACTACCTTACTGCCCTCTGTAGCAAACAACGTACTGTAAAGAAACTGCACCAGACGAGACTTCCCTTAACCTCAAGCGACTTGCAAAAGTCCAGCAGATTGGATCTCAAAATCAAATCAACACAGAATTTTTAGCTTTAGAGTCTAGTGCCACGAAGCCCGATGAAGTAACATTCCTGCCGACATTCAGCAGTGTGCACTGTACGGGGTCAAATGTATCGATCTCGACGCGAGAAAAGAAGAATGGAGGAAACTGCAGCAGGCCTATTGGCCCATACTGGGCAGTAGTCCCATTTACACCCAACCCCTATTGCTCACATTTCCATCCATCCTATGTTTGAAGCTATCCGTCCAATAATGATGTTTGGTAACTTGTTCCATTCACCCACTACTCTAATTCCAAACCAAAGTTTACCTATTTCGCGCCTAAATCTAAATATGTCTAATTTAAAATCATTGTTATGAGTTCGCTCCTGGTTGGATAGTTTGAGTACCTTTGTTATGTCCCCTTTGTTTAGCTCTGACTTCCATTTATACACTTCTATCATATCGCCCCTCACTCTAGTCTCTCGACAGAGTGCAAATATAGATGCTTTAACCTGTCTCTGTACTCGAAGTTCCTAATGCCCGGGATTAGTTGTAGTGGATTTCTCCCCTACAAACGCTGTTTGTCGCTGAGTAGCCGACCCCGCGAATTCCCCAGTGTATGCCTCGTGGTCTGGGTCAACCAGCGCCGCCATACATCACGGAGGTCAACTACTAAGCCACGCCTACCCCCGCTATTTAAGACCTGACCTCGTGGTGACCTCTCTCTTCTAGCTACAGCCACAGTAAGCAACACCTCCTCCTCCGCCAGCCTGGCGGCCCTCGCTCCCGCCGGCGAGCATGGCGACCCACAAGCTGTCCTCCTCTGAGCACCCTCATCAACCAGCTCTCTCTACATCACGCTCGTAACCACGCTGCCACTTCCCAGCACCAAGCTGCATTGTACATCCAATACAACATGTATACAGAGAGCACATTGTGAGTTTCCTTCCCCATCCCATCCTGAGTGTGAACCCAAACAACCCATACCCCACAACAGCACTTCAGAGTACTTACAACTGTAGTTTCGTCAATAATAACTGAGAATTTGTTGACACGTAGTTTTGCGAAAACGAAAAGGTTATCAGATAATGCAAATACAAAGTAAAATACAAATAAAAATGCTCAATACTCACTAACCGTCGATGTATGTCGGCTAGATGGTGAATCCAGCAAAACTCTGCAGCGGAAGTCATGGAACAGACCGTTGTGACCTCCTTTGGCTTCCTTGTCTCGATATCCCTTCGTGTGTGACTCTGCAGAATATAGTTCTGCTAAAATATCGCTAGTAAAATGTAGGTAAGGTAATTAAATACATCTACAATTTATTTCTGTGTATTCTATATGGTATTTTAGCCATGAAAAAGCATATTTCCTAAAGTAGGTAATTTACCGACGAGTCGGAGCAGTGACGTCACGGCTTACCGACTTCGTCATCAAGTTTTGGAGGTTTACCGATTAGCAGACGAATTACCGGATTTGAGAGCCCTGCCTGTCGCAGCCACAGGTTCACTGTGAGGCTTCGAGACGTGTGAATGAAGTCTCGTCTCAGCTATACTAAACTATCTATCATCAGAATCCCAGCTTATTAATAAAGATATGAACGCTATTATTGAATTACTAACGAGAAAATAACCATAAGTAATAATAATGGTCCATTTAACTTAACCAAGCTTTATAAGTTACTATTTTTTCTTAAAATCATTGAGGGAATTGGTTCATGTTCCAGGCCTGCATGATTCGGGGTTTTGTTGAATCGTTCATGGTGTATTTCGAAAGACATGTGTTTTGGGGGTCCTGGCAATGACGTCATCAGTGGGCGGGGTTTATGAACGAAAGTATTTGGACTAAATTGTTGAGTTGTAATTATTATCTATATGCCAATAGACGAAAAATTATTATACACTTGTTTATGATCTTAATTTCGTAAAGTTTAAAGTTGTGAACACGCACAAACACACACACAACCATTATTATTTCTAGCTGTGGAAACCAGTGTAGTGGGGTTGTGTTGAGAGGTATACAAAGACTATAGTCTTTGGAGGCATAGTCTGTGTCCGTGACTACACTAAAGACCAGAGAGAAAGGATAGGAAACTCGGCTGAACCCGTTGTGCACGAAAAGATGCCAGATACTTCCATTATAGCGCCATCTATTGAGCGAGTAGGAAATGAAGTTTAACGATGGGATACTAAAAGCGTGAAAACCATTAAGCTGAGAAACTAAATATACATTTTACGTTTTTTTTAATATGAAAAAGCACCAAAAGCTGTACACTATAGCAAATGTTAAAAAACAAAAACAAAATCTTTTCCTTAACTGTTTCCGTATTTAAATCAGAAAACGTGTAAGGTATTTTTTTGTACTTTATTGTTTACTGCACACAAAACGAAGACACTGAATAAAATTTGTCACAATGAATCCTAAATAATACACAAAACTACTTCATGAATATTTAGTGTTTTAATTTTATATTGCCATATATCGAAAAAAAGACAAAATGGGTGAAAAAAAAATAATTCATTATTTGTAATTACGTTAATGATTTAATGCGTGGTCTCAAAATAATTACCTGTTAGAATAGAACTGCAGTAGTTTCTTTACTACCAGACTTCTGGAGGTAAACGCCCTGGTGCTTGAGGGAGGATGTCAGAAAGTATAGGAACCCTTTGATGACTCCATACAGGTAGCGGACGTAGAGGACCTCGGTGCAGTGGATGACGCACAGATTCATATTATGGTTCTTGCAATGCACGTAGGAAGCGTGTTGGCACATGAGGAGAAGAGCTTGGGCACCATTCTTGCAGCCACTCTTGATAAAACCACCATCGCAACTTCGGAAAACTGATTTTTTTGGGGGGGAAAAGGACCATTTCTTGAGTTCGGAGTCAAAAAGTGAAGCGAGGGCAGCACCAGGTATCTTGAGGGTTGAGAGGAAGAATAAAAGTTTTCGTGGGTCTCCATATGATCATTACACTTTTGACCGCACAGGCACGGGGAGCTGCTAAGGAGGACGAGGGTATTGATGATGTATTTCAGTTTGGCCTGATATTTCTCTTGGGTTGTGGATATACTTTTGATGGGTGTGCCAGCACTCTTAAGGAAATCTGTACCAGGCACAGCTGATAAGTGTTCTTTGTAACCAATGTGGCCAAACTGCATGGTGGACCCTAACCAGGTATAGAGGTAACAAGGCCTGAGTGAAGTGTACCCACGTCATCCTTAGTCGACCATGTTGTTCTCTCTCTCTCTCTCTCTCTCTCTCTCTCAGATTTAAATTTACGTCCAGCTCATTATATTTTAACACCTATTTTATATGAGGTCAATTGGCCCTCGAATATCAAATATAGGCACGTGCTTAGTGTGCCTCTATGTCTTCGGGGCCTTGTACACATGCAATACGAATAGTTATAATCAAGTGTATAGGGTTGGGAGGAGCCACAGCCCCCCCCCCCCTCTCCTGGTTGCGTTGGTGCTATCTACTTATTTATCTTTACCAATCACTTCGTAGAGCTGGGGAACCAAAACAAGTCGTTGGAATGACGCTCTGCCCATGCGCGGCTTGGATCGATGGGTACCTTCAAGCATTTGGCTGGCGCATATTAACTACAGAGGAATTCTCCTCTTCCCGAAAACCTGGAATTGAATTAGGGTTGTCCTTATCTTAGAGGGATATATTGTGATGCGTCGAGTGGTGGAAGCCGTTGAGGATCATGTGGAATGTGTGGATTGGGGGTGAGGGGAGTTGTGGTGGGTGGCGGTGTGTGGAAAGGGGAAGGCAGGCAGGTGGCGCGCTGGCCTCAGTTGGGAGCCGCATGGCCGAACGTTCACAGTAGTACTTCTCGGTGTCTGTGTGCGTGTGTGTCTGTGTAGTATACATGCACTACTAGCTTGATGTGTACCACTGTATTACCTGTACCCTACTGTAAACTAACCACTCTAGCTCCTTCGTTGGTTACTGAGGTGGCTAATGCCGTGTGGTAATCGGTTGTTGAAAGGTACTGTATGGCATAGATCTAGCCTGCTAAATTTTTTGCCTTAGTCTATCTTTTTAAAGGTCTCCACCCCAATTTCTTTTATTCATAATTTACTATTGTTTTTTAACACCCCCTCAGCCATAGCATGCTAAATACATTAATATTAATCGCTTGGACACATTATTCCGTAGTCACAAATGCTGCTGGTGCATGTTTTACACGAGCTCCCCACTTCACTTTTGCCGTCTCGTTCATTTCTCTCCCACTAACTCTCACCCCATTTGGACCCATAGTAGACGAGCCTATTTACGCCATAGACCAATTTTCCATCTTATTGTAGACAAACCCATTTGCTGCACCCATTAGTGTTAATTAGTGACCGTCAGCATAGACCGCCCGCCTACATTTACACCCATTTTCTTTGGCTGTCAAGAGAGTTGAACCCGCAGTGCAGTTCTTTCGGGGCGAGTCCAGTTATGACGTCACATTGCTTCCCACTCCTCCTCCTGACGTCACACTGCCCACTCATGACATCACGGGTCAGTTCTTGCCTTGTATTGTGTCATGGAGATCAATTACACCTCCGATTGTTATTTTTTTTCCATTTTTTTTCAATAAATAAATAAATAATTTAACTGATTACAAAGACCTGTTTTATTCCTTAATATCGGTATCGGGAAATTCAATTTTTTTCTCAATTGAAGTGATTTAGTTTAATGATATTTGTATTGATTAACCTCTGCATATTTCGATAATATCCTTGGAATTATTTATTTTAGTGTCGCCTAAACACTGCACCAAGCCAGTTTGAAAAAAAAAGTAATGTCACATAATCAAGAATTGCCGTGATAGTAATTGTGTTCTGAAGCATATTGATTTTTTTTAGTTTTTAACCATTGTTTATTTTTCTTAGAGAATTTTGTTTTGAATTTTTGTTGCAGGATGATGTTAACCATATGAGACGCGTAGTCGTATTTATTATTATTTTATTATTATTATTCACGTTCTTATTTTTATATTAATAAGAACATTGTTAATACTTTATTTGATTACGAATGCTATAACTTGTATATTGAAAACAACAAGGCGGGATTTCCTTGTGAAGTGTAATGAAGTGAAAGAAAAGGAACAAGAACTAAAGGTAAAGAAGTGAATAAGGAAAGCGAAAAACTATAGCATGGAAAGCTCAAGATAACGATGTTAATAATGAGGATAACGGGGTTTTATCATGTAGGATTGGTGATAAGAAAAGGGCAGGGAGTGGATGAGTGGATTGATCGATAGACACAAAGGGAGAGATAGACTAATAGATAGATAGAAGGAGATAGACAAACCTTAGATAGGTAGATAGATAAATAGATAGATATATAAACCAGTTGTGATGTAGATAGTAAATAGACAATAAAGGATGGATAAATAGAGCGATAGATAGGTAGATGGATAGAAGGAGTTAGATACATGGATATGTTGGTGGATATTGACGGGAAGATATTGAATAATACATAGATCAAGATAGAAAGGAATAGATGATAGATTGATAGATACATATAGTTTTATTATTAAATAAAAATATAAGTAAACAGCAGACACTAACCTAATCTAACCTAACGCTAACCTCATCTAACACTAATCTAACCTTACGCTAACTTAATCTAACCTACCCTAATCGTCATTAAAGGTGTATAGCTGGAGAAGTAAACCGTTACTTAGATAAAGGTAAACCAGCTTTAGTAGTTTACATGGAGAATAAACCACAAATAAGATAGTTAAACCAGTCAATAGTTT